GACCTTCAGACTTCATTATACTGCTAGGAAGTGCCTGGAACCACCTTGCAACTCGACAGAGGAAGAAGTTAAATAGTAATGAAGAGTTCCTACTCTGAATGTTGGGGTAGTGCAAACTGAATCCATTCCCTCTCACACTACTGGGTCTGAAGAATCCAAAACCGACTCGGGCTTAACTTCGTTTCACCACGTAGAATACGAAACCCAAGAACTAATTCCGAAACAACTCCTGCGATACTGTAAACTATCTAAACCGAAAAGTTTCAATCGTTCATCATAGCAAGGAATGCTTCGCCTATGGACACCTCTATTCCCTCGGAGAAAAATTAACCTGGTGGCCAAATGCTGCACTTTTTCAATTTTTAGAATGTCTTTCTTACGTAGCGGGCTCCACACCTGCGAGCTGTATTCCAAATGCGGCAATACGTAGGCTATGTAAAGCCTTAACACGTTGGCGACATTGCGTCCCACTGCTGGGACGCACCTTTTTTGCCGCGTGGGACAATGCGTCCCACTGCTGGGACGCAGCAGAAGAAATTCTTTTTATGAGCAGTTTGCGAATCCGCTTATAGCAAATTTCGATTAATATGCACAGAGGTATCTAGGGTTAACAAGGTCCGCTTACATATTTTCTTTTGGTTTTTTATACCTTGAGTAAATAATAAGAGGTTTATCAGGCTACTAAAGTATTTTCCAGAGAAATAGGTATTATATGAATTATACAAACCTTCTAGTAACATATATAACAATTAAATTGATAAAATCTACTACTAATGAAACTTCAAATGCTAAAATACGCAATACAAAAATACTACCATGCAAAACAAACTAGAGTACCCTATTCAAGCATTGGAACAGATAGTGTGTCTGGTTTAAAAGCATTCGAGGCAAACAAAACTTTGGCATATGCTACACTGAGTCCTTATTTTCTTAGCGTGGTTGTTGGCGAAAGTGCGACCCTTATTTGCCAGTTTCTGGTAGCAACGTTTGTACCGTCGACGATGGATGCGCGAAAGATCGTTATTCTCCATCAGTTTTCTTTTTTCTCCCATGAGTAAAATTGCTTTCTCCATTATGATTCTGCAAGACCTTAACAATCACATATTTAAATTCATTCAGCTGCATCGTAGCGTTTAGGTTGTACAGATGCCAAGCGTTGACCAAGGCAGTTTGCGTAACTAGGTGGGAACACAGCCTCATGTATGTACCATTTCGCACTCCTTCTCACGAATAGGCGTGTAGGCTGCCATCTGGTCATGCATATCCACGAAGCCCTTCATTTCGTCGTAATCTTCTATTACTTTATGGCTTTTTTTCCCAATTATGGTGCTCTGGGGCCGAACAATGCGCTAGTTGAAAGCATAAAAAATATTCCTCTTGTACCTTTCCACTTAGAAGCAAATCCCGTCCTTTAATTGTTTCTGTTGAGAAAAGCGACTTGAGCTCGTGTAGAGCTTCCTTGGTAGTCAAAGCGGGAGGAATGCCTATTTCGGTCTTTCTTATTGTTCAGCATGAGGTTGGTCCTCCTGGAAAGCAGGGAGTCGGCCAAAGGCAAACTTGTGTAAAAGTTGTCTGTACAGAGATCTCGTCCTTGGTCCAAATAGCCCTCCATAAGCTCCAGAAAAACAGCATTCGGCACACCGCCTACTCCAGTGACATCCCTATCGGCATAAAATTTCACTTTTTGAGTGTACCCTCCTTTTGAACAGAGCTTGAAGAGTTTGATGCCGTACTTGCACCTCTTCGATTTGTTGAATTGTCTGAAACGACTCGTCCTCGGATTGGCACCACTGCACTTCGTATCAATACAGAGTTCTCTAGATGGGTCTGTACATCATTTTTTTTTTTTTTTTTTTTTCTTCTGGAAAGAGCCATTCAGGGAATCCAATATAGGTTGGATTTTGTAGAGGTGGTTTCCTTTGTTGGCGTTGTCGTTGTCGACAAAATGAAGGCTCGCGCAACAAATGTTTCAACGCGAGGTTCTGACACAATCGCATTCGTGACTGCTGGGTTGCAATAAATTAGTCTGTAGACCAGTAGTCGTGAAGCTTTGGCAGCCGAACGAGGCCTATGTAGAGGGAGATGCAGATGAATTGTCTTATCTCTTCCACGTTAGTGTCAGTCCAATCCTTTTTCTACTCCTTCATTCTTGCTACCATACCTGTTTGTCTCCATAACTATGAGATGGAGCAATTCGTCGTTCAGGAACAGTTGGAAATAGTCAATTGGATTTTTGCAGTTTTCAAGGTCCTCGTGTGGTCCACAATCTTCAGCGAAAACGAATCGATTATATTTCGTGACATCTTCGGTCCAACGTTCTTGTTCCTCTTCTTCTCCTGAATTTTCTCCGGCAGTCAGAGTCGTCCCGTCGTATTTCACAGGTAGTATCAAACGCTTGGCGGTGTGTGTCAAATCCATTGATATATGGCTCACTATCTGCACTGTCGATCAAGGTGGTCAAAACTAATAGCATTCAGTCTCTGTGAAGTCTGTTCCGTAGGTATCTATCATCCCCATATATATAATTCGCTTCGTCTGTTTGTTGTAAGTTTGTTTGTAAGTTTGTTGTTTGTTTGTTTGTTTGTAAGTTTGTTTGTCTGTCCGGAAATTCGGTTCGACCTGAAGAACGACTTGGAGAGGTCGGGTCAAGGTGGGGATGGGTAGAGCATGGGACAAGAAATAAAAAGCACACTTGACCTATGCGAAGCCCCGCCCACAGTGGCGGGCACTCGCTGAAATTTTGGGGTTTCCACAGAAAAAATGTTCATAATTCGCTTCCGGAGCAGCCTAAAGATGGGGAAAAAGGAATAAGGTTAGTAAGGAGTCGCCAGACTAACTGTGGCAGACACATCCAAAATGGGCGGGGCGTACTCAAGGTGGGCGGTGCTTCGCATAAAACTCAGTAACTCGGTTCGCGAGAGTGTTCAGAAGCCGCAAAAAGCTCAGTGCAGAATGTAAATATCTGGCGAGTATTGGGCATGCCCAAAGTGTGTTGAGATCCGCCCACAGTGGGCGGAGCTTGCCCTAAACCGCAGGATACTCACTTTAAAAGTTTGTAGCTCGGTTCCAGAGCACTGCAAAGACCGGAAAAACGTGCGTCAAGGTCGGCAAAGGTTCGCCGTGGGCAAAACGTTGTGGGCGGAGTCCCGCCCCAGGAAGCCAAAAGTCTGTAAAACGGTTCCAGAGCTCTCCGAAGACCGGAAAAAAAAAATTGAATTAAGGTCAGCAGAGGGTCGCCGGTGAGGATTGTGGGGCACGAAAATTGGGGGCGGGGCCAGCCCGAGGTGGGCGGAGCCAGACAAAAATTCTCCAAAACTCTCCCAGAGCACTCCGAAGACCGGAAAAAAAAGTGGATTAAGGTCAGCAGGGGGTCGCCTGTGAAGAGTGCGGGGCACAAAAATTGAGGGCGGGTCTGCTCTGAGGTGGGCGGAGTCAGACGAAGAATTTGTAAAACAGCTCAAGAGTACTTCAGACACCGGAGAAAAGTAGAGTACAGAACAAAAGGCGGATAATGCAGTTGAGGCCTAGAAATATGTGAAGAAGTGTAGCGCGCGAAAGCCGCGGCCGCGCCCGGCGCAGCCGGGCCCTGTATCAGAAGGAAGCCGCGCTCGGCGTCAGGCCGGCGAAGGCGAACTGGTTATTTTCATATAAGAGAATTTGTTGCTAATCAATGCTTGCTCAGGGTATTCACACTGGCGAGACACTGACTCTTCACGTGCTTACCACATGCACGTGATTTTCCTACTACTATCACACAGTAATTATCATTGAAGCCCTTAAGGATAGCCCAGAAGTCGCAGCATTCGATATCTTTCAATAACGCTCATGATGTCAGCGAGTTTGAGAGGGTGTTTTCAAAAACTGCTCTGTGGGACAATGCGTCCCAATGCTGGGACGCAATTCTCGACAAATGCGAGCGCGCGATGTCCCACGTGGCAGACACGCGAAAAAACGCGTTGTCGCCAATGTGTTGATAGAGTATCAGGTCTGCTACTTCGGACATTCCGGAAAGTACTAAAGAGAGGAGCAAAGCCTTACTAACCACACGATCAACCTGAACAGAAAACTTGAAACTGGATTCAACGATCACTCCCAAATCCGTAACAGTTTTCAACACCAGCTTCAGCGGGACCCCATTCACTTCATATGACATGGCGGCCCCACCACCGATATGGAGCACACAACACTTATTTAAGTTCACTGCCAAATCAAGACTCGCCGCCCATTGATTGAGCTTCTCAGCAAGATTGCTTACGAGGTGCACAAACATCATCACGGTTTCTTTCATCATAGATACCATGCAACTTAACATCGTCAGCATAGACCTGCACTTTAACATTTACTGAGGCATTGACGACCTTGGGCAACTCAATAGTGTACAACAAGGAATAAAAGTGGGAAGAGGACTCCGCCCTGTGGCACACCACTGGTGTAGAGGTGCCTATTGGAAAAACCCGAAACAAAACCCTGGCTGTCATATGACGGGAGCATAAGTAAGACTCCATCCACCTCCATAGACCGCCACGTATCCCAAGCCTATCAAGAATTCGCAATAACTCTGGTGATTGACTCTGTCAAAGGCCTTGGATAAATCAATGTAAATGACGTCGATGCATTTACCTTGATTCAAGGCTAGGCACCAGTCAAATACACTCTCGACAAGGTTGGTAGTCGTACTAGCCCCGGGAAGGAACCCATGTTGTTCCGGTGGAATGATTCTGAATCTGCGACACCAGGACAACAGTTTCCTCTTATAATCTTCTCCATTACTTTAGGCTGGTGTAGAAGTGAGACTAATAGGTCTGAAATCACCGACAGACTGAGCGTGCAAGACCTTTGGAATAGCGGTGACCAATGCTTCTTTCCAAAGCTCAGGAACCTCAGCCATCATGAAGGATACGTTGAGGTGAGGCGCACTTGCGGAAGACAATTGGCGGGATTCCATCATAGGGTTCAGAAGTCGAGGGTTTGAGTTGTTTGAGCAGCTCATAAACATCGGAAGGGTGGAAAATAGATGTTATCACAGGTATAATGGAAATCAAGCTCACTGCAGTGCAGCCCTATAATAGAACCACTCTGATTTGAAAGGAGGTAGCAAAGTAATCGCCCAAAGCGTTACTACCATCACTAAGGCAAAAGCAACCATTTCCATCAACAATGGAAGGCAAGCGTGAATTAGACTTGATCTTGTTATTGACATAGAGAAAAAGATGCTTCATGGATGACCGAGATGCTAATTGCTCCTCCCTGGAATGCCCGAAACTTTTTCAGGTGGCGGTTAAGGTCTAGGCATATGTGTTCTTATAGAGCCGATTACTTAGTGGGTTTGAAGAACACTCGAAGAAGACGTTGCTTCTGGGACATTAAATTCTTAATGTGAGTGGGGAACGTGACCCAGGATGTTCGTGGATAACGAAAAGGAACAGTTGAAGATAAACTCTGTAAACAACGGAGCAGAACCTGCGATATAAATCAGACGCAGAAGTATAACCGTCAAAAACCCGTACCCAGTTAACTTCATTAAGGCTGCGACCTAAAGCTGTGTAATTCCGGAGAAAGTCAGGTTTGGGTAGAGGCACTTGCAAGGGGGGAGGGAAGCATCCACCGAAAAAGAAAGCATAGAGTGATCAGACGTATCGAGGGGGAAGGACTGTAACACCATCCACTATGGACCTGGAAATGAAAATCACGTCAAGAATGTTTCCAGAGTGGGGGGCTCTGCTCTCCGCCAGTGAGTGACCGTCGGAAGCACAACCTTCACTAATCTAGTTTCATGGGATCCAGCTTCCCCATACGAAAAACTTCACACGGCCTACATTCCACGTCCAAGGCGTCCAATAATGCGCGCAACTGTGGTTTCCAGTTCATTTTGCCTTGCCGACGGAGCTAGATCCCTTTTGCTTTCCTCCACCCCGGCAATTACAATGCTTCGCGAACGTTTTTCCCGCTCAAGGTAGTCAGAAAAACTATTTGAACGTTTTTCAGAAGGGCCACCAGCATCTTGCCAATGATGGGATCCTTATTAGTCTCAATGATACTACTCAAAAGCTCACTTACAGAGAGTTTGTCAAAGTCTTCATTAACCATCGTGCACTCCTGACTTACTCTGTGCCTAGTAGGTAAAGGGATACCTTCTCCAGCATCAGTGGTGTTCGCTTTTCTACGTGTGATCCTTGCCATATTTGATCCTCAATAGTCAATAGAACTTAATCAATAAACAAACCACACAAAAGCGAACCCACCAGTTGTAGGGACCAGGGATAAGAAGTGATTAAATTCGAAGGAGAATTCCGGCGCCTTTGAGAAGGCACTACGCAGTGCCCTTTCCAAGGGAGGTGCCTTTATAAGGGCCCTACCAAGCTACAACATACCGACCCGAACGCTTACCACGCCCACCCA